CTGCATGGTTCAAAATCAGGAAGGGAGTGCATCAGGGATGTGTCCTGTCTCCATACCTTTTTAATCTATATGCAGAAGAGATCATTAGGGAGGCTCGGCTTTATGAAGAGGAATGTAGCATCAGGATTGGAGTAAAACTCAACAACAACCAACATTACACAGATGACAAAAAATTGTTTACTGAAACTGAGGAAGATCTGAAAAATTTGCTGCAGAAGATCAAGGACTGGTCTTCAATATGGATTGAAGCTCAACATCAAAAATACAAAGATTCTCATCACAACAACAAGGAACAAAGACTTTGTGAAATACTATGTAGATTGGAAGAGACTAGAGAGCGTTCTGCTGAGTGAAATATCTCAGTCACATAAGGACAAATGCTGCATAAGGCAACCATTTTAATAACAGAAGGGTAATTAAGCAAGATATGCATAGATGTTCAAAAGGGGAAAGGGAAGGGGGGGAACGAAGAGCATAAAAAGCAGAAGCGGAGGGAATTACTGGGGTAGCAAAAGTTGAGGGGCTAAAAGATTTGAAAATGTTCAGGGGGGACTTGAAAAGATTAGGAGATAATAGGCATAGAGCAATAATAATGATATAAAATATAATGCATATGAATGTATAAAATGCAAGGGACATGAATGAAATACAGTGTATATGAATGATTTTATAAAACACAAAGTACATGTACAAAACACACGATATACACATATATAAACAATATGCAAACCATTTTTTTTCTGATTCCTTTATATTGGTCTGCATACAAAATTTGTATACACTGGGTTTCACATTTTTCTTCATTCATATTGTGTTTTATACATTCTCATACATTGCATTTCATAAAAATAATTGTCTTTGCACTATACCCACCATTACTCCATCTTTTCAAGTCCCTGCTGGATCTTTCCCATTTCCTTTACCCCCTCCCTCAACACACCAAATTCTGTGACATCATATTTTCCTCCCTGCCCATTTTCAGCCCCCTTGCACCTCTCTTTCCCCCTTTGGATCTTTGTACACATTTTAATAGTTATTCCTCTGTTTTTACAATAATGGTCTTATGCAATATTTGTCCTTATGAGACTAAATTAGTTCACTCATCATAATGCTCTCTAGCTCTCCCATGCTAAGAACAGTTTTCAAAATTGTTGCTCTTTAGTGCTGCATAGTATTCCATCATGTCAATACACCATAATTTCTCAATCCATTTGTTAGTTGTTGGATATTTTGGTTGTTTCCATGTGTTTGCAATTGTGAATAATGCTACTATGTACAAATCTTCATTTGTGCCTAAGTTCTACTTTCCTTGGGGTATATTCCATGCAGTAGATTAGCTGAGTCATATGGAATTTCTATGTTCAGCTTTTTAAGGAAATGCCAAACTGCCTTCCAGAGTGGTTATACTATTTTACAATCCCACCAACAGTGTATGAGAGCTCCCACCTCTCTACATCTGCTCCAACATTTATTGCTTGCTTTCCTGTTAAACTTTCCTTCTGCTACTGGTGTGAGATGATGTGATTTGCATCTCATTTCTTGCCAGAGATTTTGAGCATTTCCTCAAGTGTCTGTCGGCCATCCAAGTATCTTCCTCTGTATAAAGACTTTCCCATGTCTTTTACCCATTTTGTAACTAGGTTATCAGTCTTTTTTTGTGGAGGCCCTGTAGGATTCCATATACTTTAGTTATGAGACCCTTGTCTGAGATGGCCTTGCCAAATATTTTTTCCAGTTAATAGGGGAAACCAATTAAAAATTATTTAAAAATGAAAAGTAAACCCAGAGGAGACTGTATCAGATAAAATAATTTTCAAATTTAAATTTTAATTGCAAAATTATAATTTCGGGGAAGGTGCGTGGAGGGGAGAAAATGTTCAACAATTTAAAAAAAAATAAATAGTATATAAAAACCCAAACCAAACCAAATAATAATCTCAAAATACTAAATTATAATTTCTCTAATATAAAACTAAAATATTATATTCTATGTGTTTCACATTTACATTATTTTCCATAGCTAATTTGGCTTCCTTACAAAATGCTTTTACATCTTTATGATTTGAGGAGACTGGTTCAGCTGAAGATACCTCAACCTTAACAAAGACAATTAACATTTCTAGAGGCACCAGGAACAAATAGCTTATATATTCATTTGGGCTCTTTCCTACTTCTAGGTGGTTCTTGGATGATGAGAGTAATAATACTACCAAGAGAGTGTTGCTAATGTGTTTTTTAAATAAAGGGAGAGAGTGAATGGCATCAGACAGAACAGTAAGAAAAGAAGTGAAAACAGCCCCCCCCCTCCCCCCAATGCTGCTTGTTTGGTGCTCCTACTCACCTCTTGCAGAAGCTGGATCTTATTCTCCAAGAGCTCATAAACATGCTCTGTCTCCTGCTGTCTCTCTTCAAACTGGCGCCGGAGCTCTGCTTCATTGTGGCTGTTTAGAGTCTCCACATCAGCCCTAAAACCATACAGCATTAGCAATTCAGAGCCAGGCACATAATGTAGCAAGTGGGCCCAATGAGGTTGTTTTAGTAACTCAGCTACACTAATGAAAAGGGAAAAGGCTTCCCCCCCCCTTCTTTGTCTATGGAATCACTCTAGCTTTTTCAGATAATCTTTTAGGAACTCAGATGTTTTTGCTAGTTGAAATATATTGCTCAGAAAGATCAGAGATTTTATTATTGAGACAGTTTGAAGGGTAGTTTGGTAGATAAAGAATTGTATGGTCAACCCAAAGGCATGCAGTTCAAATCCACAGTACTATGATAGATGGAGAAGAGATTGAGATTGTTAACAATATCAGCTTGCTAGGCTTCACAATCAACACTCTTGGCACCAGCAGTCAAGAAATCAAAAGCCTAACTGCATTAGGTAAATCTAGGGACTTCTCTGGACTGCTGATGAACAATGATGTCTGTCTAGAGACTAAGATGTGCCTGGTAGAGGCTATGGTCTTCGCAATAACTTGCTATGCATCAGAGAGCTGGACGGACAATGACTAAGGATGACAGAAGAATCAATGCCTTTGAGTGGTGGTCCTGGAGAGGAGTCTTGAACATATCATGAACTGTCAAGATAACAAACTGGTCTGTCTTGAACAGAGTGAAACCAAGTTTCTCCTTGAAGGCAAAGATTTTGAAGGTCTGCCTCACATACTTTGGGTACCTTGCCAAGAGGGACCAGTCCTTAGAGAAGGACATCAGGCTTGGAAGGGTGGAGGGTTAACACATAAGAGAAAGGAAGACCCTGGATGAGACACAGTAACTGGAGTTATATGGGTAGATGTGTTTGGAGATAATGAGATTGGCTCAGGATAGAGCAGGGTTCAGAGCTATTGTGCATAGGGTCACTATAAGTCACAGGCAACTAGACAGCTCATAACAACAACAGCTTGAAGAGGAAGTAGAGCGACAAGCATCAAGTAACTGAGAATTCAACATCTTCAAAGGACTCTCCAATTTATACTGCTTTCCAAAGTGCTCTGAAAATGGTTTGTCTTCCCTCTCTTTTCTTTTACTAAGAGTTTAATGTGTCTGCTGGATAAACAGGGAGCTCTTGTGCCTTTAGTGGAAAGGATACACATTTGGACACCCACTGACATGCACTCCTCCTTTACATACTATCCTGCATCTGGTTATTGATCCAGAGTTCAATCATTTTCCTCTGGTCCTATGTAGAAAACAGGCATTTCATCTGTGGAAGATCATGGTTTTGGCTGAGCTTTACTTCTCTGATGTCCCTAGGAATGAACATCCAGACATTAACGTGGAGGGGGTCAGGTGCTGTTAATCTATTTATAGTTAAGAACAGCTGCCCTTGGATGTCTGAGGATTAGAAAATTTGGAGCAGTATCAGGAGCCGAATGATCTCAATTCCGGTTTGATTTTATTACTACTTTAAGCCACCTGTTGGAAACCATGGACCATCTTTTTTATTCTCAGAATTGAAAACAATACTGAATGTTCGTAGGCTCAAGATAAATCAAAGCTGCTCTGTCCAAGACCAATGGGACATCGATATTTGGCTTAGGAGGATTGTGTTGCTGGAGACCAATCAGACTTTGTTTACCCATTGTTATGTTGGCAACACTTAAGTATAAGGAAAATATAATCTCTGGAGATTGACATTTTTTTATGATGATTGGCTTAAACGAAATAAAAACCATAAGGAGAATAAGAAAGAGGCCTTTTCACAGTGCTAAGCTGTGAGAGGACCTTTGTCTCAGCCTTTTTTTTTTTTTTTTCAGAGAAAAAAATAAAAGACTACAGGATTTCTTAGTTGACAGTGGACACTATCAGGCCTATCCCTGAAGCTGTCTTTATCTTGAGCTGTCTAGTCATTTTACAATCTTTTGAAAGCAGGAAGGTCTTGTTCAAGGGAATAACCTTTGAACACTAACGTGACAGACTTTAGGAAATGTCTTTAATTTTGACTCCATAGTAAACGTCACATTCCCTGATAAGGACAATAAATATGAGCTAACTAGAGAATGGAGAGAATGTTGATTTTGGAGATAACTCAGTAGACCAAGAATCCACGTGGTGACATCAAAAAAGCATTGAACTTGACACTGTAAGATATATGCTCTGTTATTTGAGAAGATTTTCACTCTCTGTACCTTAGCTTTCTCGTTTATGAAAATAAGGATAATACCTCTCAAATCATAGTTGAGAGAGATGATTTTTTAAAAGATGCTGTAAGCAAGTATCAAAATGTTTTATTGAATTTTAAGTTTTCCTACATAAATACTTTAGTAAGTGGTCCCCTGTTACAGCGTATTGTGATTAAAATGAATCTGGTTTTGAGTATTCTGACCTTTCTGAGTTATAATCCTGAATATTAAGAAATATTATAGACAATGAAGAAATGCCCAATTGGGTTAAATACATACTGATACTGAAATCATTTTAAAATTATTTTGACAACTTTAATAATACCTTTCATTAAAATTATTTTGACAACTTTAATAATACCTTTCATTAAAAATGACACTTTTTTATCAAATGGCATCTTCTTTATTTTGCATACATTAATTTCAGAACAAAATAAATGAAGTAAACTCATAATACACAACATCCAATCTCATTCTTGAGGTTGTGGCCAAAGGCCCCTACCTGCCTTAACACACTGGACAGAAAAAAAAAACAATAACACTAGCTGTCAGCAGATGGAGCCAGATGGGAGAGGGCAACTCAAGGCTGCTGGGAGCCACAGGGATGCTCTACAGGGCAAGGAGAGTGTTACAGTAGGAAATTTTAATAGATTTCTTCCATGTGAGATGCATTCTCATCAACCTCAACTCAAGTGGTGGTGGGGGGAAATCTCTTCAGAAACAGCAGCACTGGGTTCCTTAGCTGTCCCATCATCTTCATCAATGCCTAACCCTAGCTTGATTGTGCAGTAGATGTGGTGGAGTGAGTCTGGGGATCCTCAAGGGAGAAACCAGAAGAGAGCAGTGCAGTTTCAAACAGCAGCAGCAGCAGGTCCTTAACATCTTCGTCATTCTTGTCTGCCTTGGTCTTCTGTCTCAGTGTCTCAACATTCAGATGATCAGGGTTGATCTCCAGGTGCTTTTTAGCCATCATGTTGCCCATTGTCAAGTTTTCCTGAAGCACCTGTGCTTTCATGATCTGCTCTATATTGGCTGTCCAGCCACACATGCCAGTCACAATGCAGCAGATGAAGATACGAGCCTACTGGAGACTGTCACCTTCTCAACCTTCTTACCTAGAATTTCCTTCATGAGCTTAAAGGTTCTCAAACATGGCCTTGCTCCCCACCATTTTCTTTTTCTCTTCCTCATCCTCAGTTAGTTCTAGTCCCTCCTTGGTGACAGAAACTTGGCTCTTTCCATCAAACTCCTTGAGCTCTTGCACCCAGTACTTGTCTACAGGTTTGGTCATATACACAGCCTCAAAGCCCTGCCTGTGGACTTGTTCCACAAAAGCAGAGTTGACCACCTGCCCTTTGCTCTCACCAGTGACGTAAGAGATGTACTTCTGGGTCTCCTTCATGCGAGACACATATCTTGAGGGAGAAGTCATCTCGTCTCTAGACTGGGATGTGTGATCGTGAAGTATCTCAGAAAGACGATGCTGCTTAGTGGAGTCATCATAGATTTCAAGCTTCAGATTTTTAGAGAATGCCTCATAGAATTTCTTGTTCTCATTGTCTTCTGTCAACTCACAGAAGAGTTCAAGGCAGATCCTCAGAATCAACCACAGCACAGATGAAGTTCAGATACTCTGGTGTCAACTCATCACAGCTGTCCATGAGGAACACAAGGCGAACATAAAGCTTAATGTTTCTTCTTGTTCTCAAAGAGATCAAAGGGAGCCGGTGAGGGATAAACAGCAATGCCCTGAACTCCAGCTGACTTTCTACTGAGAGGGGCTTGACAGCCCAGTGGTCTTCCCAGTCATCAGTGAGGCTCTTGTAGAACTAACTCTCCTTGTTCCTCCTGTGTGATGTCATCAGGATTTCTAGTCCAAATAGGCTTAGTCTTTTTCAATTCCGCCCAATCGATGCACTTTTCCTTAAATATTTCTTTTGTTTTCTTTTTCTTGTCTTTACCACTGTCATCTTCCTCATCTGAACCCACATCCTTAATCTTGGGCTTCTTCATCCTTATCTTCCTCTTTCTCACCTTTCTCTTCTTCCGCCTCCTAATCACTAATTTCCTTCTCATTCTTTCTCCAAATAAAGAGTGATGGTGCCTATGAACTGCACGTGCTTCTTCACTACTTCTTTGACTCGTCTCTCCTCTAAGAACTCTGTCTGGTCTTTAAGGTGCACGTAAGTTCCCTGACCAATGGGCTCACCATGGTCAGCACCAACTGTGAAGGAAGCTCCAGCTGAAGACTCCCAGGCCTACTGCTCACCATCATTGTGTTTTGTGACCACTACCAATTTCTCTGCCACCAAATAAGCAGAATAAAAACCAACGCCAAATTAAACATTCATAGAGTGTCTGCACCAGCCTGCAGAGCCTCCCTAAGGGCTTTGGTACCAGACTTGGCAATTGTTCCCACATTATTTATAAGATCAGCCTCGGTAATGTTAATTTCTGTGTTAACAAGAGTCAAAGTACGTTCCTGGGGGTTAGGGATGATGTCGATTTTCACCTCTTTCCCACTGTCCAACTTGGAAGGGTCTGACAAGCTCTCATAGTGAATCTTCTCCAATGCATCAGAAGCATTAGTGATCAACTCTTTAAGGAAAATTACCTTGTTGAAAAAGAAAGTATTGATGAGAAGAAACATAAGATGGGTAATCTCTGCCTAAAAGGCAAAGGTCTCCACCTTCTCCTCTCCATGGTACACTTCCTAAGGCATCTTAATGAAAAGGGTTGTAAGTACCAGAGAGGCAAGGACAGGGTCTAGACCAGGGCTCACAAGGCTTGCCAGCTGTGTGAAGGTGACTCAAGAGACAACACTAAAAATTTTTAAAAGCTGTAAATTATAAAAGTATCATTTTAACTATATGAAGCTATACAAAAATAAAATTTAATCTTCCTTCTCACAAACTCCTATTCATTCCTTTAATACAAACAAGACTGAAGAATTTAATGTATACTAGCAACAATAGCAAAATTCAAGTGGACAACAAACAACAAATGCTGGTGAGGTTGTAGAAATTGGAACTTTTATTCACTGTTGGTAGCAGTGTGAAATGGTACAGCCACAGTGGAAGGCCATCTGGCACTTTCCCAAAAGGTTGAAAATAGACATACCATTTGACCCAGTTAACTGGAGGAGCGGGAGAGAGAAGGGGAGGAGGAAGGAGAAAAATGTGTAAAAATGAATGAATGAAAATTCAACTTTTCTGTAAACTTTCACTAAAATCACAGTAAAATTAAGTTGAGGGGGAAAGAGTTTTATGTATAACCTACAAATTGTTTTTCTATGCATAATCAAGAAATCCAAGATCACACAGAAAGAAGTGTCTCTACAATAAAGGACTTACATAGTTAAACATCACTAGGCATTTTCTCTCATTATTTAATCTAGCAAAGACTTCTAACAAAGATACTAATAGAGAGATGAGTTTCTTTTTAATATTATTTCATATTATTATGAAAATATATGAGTATCCCAACATTTTATTCAGCCAGTGCCCTATTGATGGATGATATTTCTAGGGTTTCTTCCTTACATACAATGATGCAGTCAAGATCCTTATATAACTATCCTTTTACACCCCAAAACTCCCACTCCCATCTACCTAAGCCTGAGTTACAGTGACCCTTCTTTACTGGATTTCTGAGGCTGTGAATCTGTATGAAAGAAAACCGTCCAACTTACACTCTGGTGGATTCAAACCTTAATCCTTTGGCTAGCAGTACCATACATAATGTATTATGTTGCCAGAGCTCCTATCTTTTTATTTCAATGATTTCTTGTTGGGATTACCTGATCAAAGGCTATGTCTATTTTTAACCTTAATAGGCAGCACTACATACCAAAAAGGGTTTTACTATTAAATTTCATTGGCAGTGCATAGCGTATCCCAAATCCTGTCAGCCCTTGATATTATTAATTATTGATTAATAATCCCTGATAAATCTTATTTGCATTTGCCATTTTCTACTAAATGTAGAAGAGTTAACTGAGTTTCCAGCTTAGTAGAATGCTGTTTCATAGAAGTTTAGTTTATTAAAAAAAAGTTTATAATAAGTTTAGTTTATAAAAAAAAATCTCAAATTCATTGCCACCAAGAGACTCATAGCTGACCTTCTTTCCAGTGAGTTTAAGACTATAATCATATGTAAGGGGATTTCCTATCTTTCTATCTCCAAGCAGCTCATCTGGTGAATTTAACAATCTCTGGAAGATCTATCTGATTTAGTAACAGAGAATCCAAGGGGATAAACCCAAAAACCTACTGCTGAGTTTATTCCAACTCACAGAGACCCTAGAAAACAGTTTCCAAGGCTGTGGATCTCTACCAAAGCAGCCTGCCGTGTTTTTATCCTGTGAAGTGGCTGATGGGTTTGTTCCACCAAAGCTTCTTAAGGGGTGGGGGGAAATTCAACTCATTGTCATCAAGTTGGAACTGACATGTAACGATTCTCCAGTGGGTTTTCTGAGGCTATAAATTGCATGGGTGAATGCTGCCCATCTTTCTTTCATGGGACTGCTGGTGGATTTGAACTGCCAGAGACGTGGCCCGTGGTTTAGTAATGTACCTCCTTATGGACTAAAAATCTACTGTTTCAGTTCTTGTTGGCATAACATTAAAATGTCAGTGGTGTGGTTAATGGAAGTATTCAGCTACCTTGCTTCCAAATCTATTGCTCTCACTAAGACAGTCATCTTTTGGGAAAGGACTGGAGTGCATCTAGTTCAAACTACAACTCACCATGTTTTATCCAGATCTTGCTTCTTGTCCTGGAGTTCTCGTTTCAGGCTCTCTACTTCAACCTTCAGCTCAATGTTCTGAAAGCACATAAGTATTAACTGTTATTAATTACCATACATCTTATATCCTAGAACCAAGTTTCTCTGAGAATTGCCTTGGTCTTTCATCTCAACTCAGTTCTCTTCATGACCCTTGATAGAACTGGGCACTCAGTTGAATCAGCAACCCATCAAGGATAAATGAATGGTACGATTTCAGGAATTCTTCACCTACTTCTCTAGTATTTCAACTTGTTCTTGGCTATCCCTTGATGATGAAGTCACTAGTTTCACCATATTTTAATAACCATGTCTAGTTTTGAATTGTCTGTGCTGGCTGCTATTATCATGCTAACTATTAAGAAATAACTAGAGACACAGAAAACAATAGCATCAGATTAATGGCAAACTGTTTCCAGGGTATAATCTAAAACATATTTGTTCTCTTAAGGGAATTTAAGGCAGAGTATATATTAAAATAGCATTTCTTTCTAATAACAATATCTTTCCTAATACAGAGACCAAATTGCTACATAGCTATATTTTAAATATGATTCTATTTTAAAAAAGCTTTTTATTTAAAGAAACATGTTGTAAATATGTTTGAAAACAATTGTTGGCTTTAATTACACATTTGGACTTTTATATGTTGTGTCTATTTAAGATTAGACTGTAATGGTAATTCTATCCAAACAAGCAACTCAATTTTACTGAGGTGAGGCAGCATCTGGTAAGATTTAACACAGAGAAAAATAAAAATATGCTCTACTAAGTAAGTGAAGCAAAGTATGAATGAGGATGTAGTAAGATGATTGTCCATTAACTGTTCAGTGGTGAGAAATAGTATAAAAAATAATTTTCAGCAAGCTGTAGTATTTCAATTTTCAGCAAGTTCTCCTCTCATGGTGGACAGGTTTCAGCAAACCTTCCAGACTAAGGAAGACTAAAAGGAAAGATTAGCACATTATATCTGAGAAAATTGGCCAGTGGAAAACTTAAGAATAGCAGCAGAACACTATCTGATATAGTACCAAAAAATAAGCCCTTGGGCTGTAAGGCACTCAAAATACATATGAGGAAGAGCCACCTCCTTAAAGTAGAGCCAATTTTAATTGCATGGATGGGGTAAAGCTTTCATTTGTTCATGTTGCATAACTCAAAATGAGAAGAGACAGCTGAAAATATCCATCAGAATGTGAACCATATAGAGTTGTTGTTACTGTTGTTGTTGTTGATTGCTGTCGACTTGAGCACGACTCATAACAACCCTATGGGCAAAAGGCCTGAAGCCTTTCTATAATTATTATTATTTATCAAAGTTCATGGAGTTTCCAGAGGCATGTTGTTTAGGAAAAAGTATAAATCTAGAATAATTGGAAGTTGTTAAAAATGAGGTGGAATGCGTGAAGATAGATTTTCTTTTCTTTTTTTTTTTTTGCATGTGAAAGCTGGGTAGTGAAAAAGAAAGACAGAAGGAGACGTAAATCCTTTGAATTACGGTATTGGTGAAGAAGATTGAGTATTCCACAGACAATTAGAAGAGACAACTATTCTTTGCAAGACATGCAGCCAGAATTTTCCTTAGAAGCAAGGATGGCAGGATTTCATCTCAAATATTTTGGACATGTTATCAAGAGGGACAATCCCTGGAGAAGGAATCAGTCTTAGTAGAGTAGGGAAGTAAAAAAGAGAAAGACCTTCAATGAGGCAGACTGACACAGTGATTACAACAATAAGTTCAAACATAGCAATAATTGTGAAGATGGCGTAGGACCAGGCAGTGTTGTGTTCTATTTACACAATGAGTCAGAACTGACTTGACAGTACCTGACAAACATTTGTGGCAATGCTAAGAAGATGGGGTAGTAATCAATACAGAACAAGGAGTCATCTGAGAGTGTTAGCCAAAATATCACAACGACCAGATCATTGTAAAAAGAATGTATCGTCATTGAGAAGATGATGGATTAGTTAAGAAGAAACTGATTACAACAGGAATGGAGACTATTTGTGACCAAAAAGGTACAGGGAGAAAGAATCAAAAGACATTTCAGAGGCAAAATCCATAATGGGGCTTCCTAACTCATGAGAGATTCAGTTTAAACTAGAGGGAGGAACAACACTAACGATTTATACTATGTAGATGGTGGTACCTACTATTAACTAATTTAAGGAACAGCACAAGGGAAGTAGATTTGTAAGGAAATATAAAAAAATTTATACACACTATTGATATTGATGTGTCAAATGCGTTAATGGTTGGCTACCCAATGCGGACAGAGGGTGGGGTGGAACTCCCCAATTAAAACAAGCTTGGAAGCAGGAGTGGCATTCACTTCCATAATAGCTTGCCTCCGGAAAACCTATGAACCTGGAGAGAGGATGAAAGGCACCCAAGCGTAGAGGACTCTCCTTCATAGGATCGCTATGAGTCGCCTGTGACTCGGCGGCACTTAACAACAACAACAGTTTGTTTATATTGTTAGGTGCCCTCAAACCTACCCCATCCTGTACCATCATCCTCATCATCTCTCCCATATTCACTGTTACATAAATCACATCATTACAGCCTCTGTGTCAATCCGTCTTGTTTAGGGTCTTCACCTCCTTCACCAATCCTCCACTTTCTCCAAGAATAGGCCCCTCTTATCAACATGCCCAAAGTGTGTGAAACAAAGTTTCATCATCCTTCCCTCTAAAAAGCATTCTGGCTTCACTCTCTCCAAGACGCATTTGTTCTTTTGGCATTCCATGTGATATTTAGTGCTTTTCTCCAGAACCACAACTCAAAGGCATTGATTTTTACTCACTGTCCAACTCTCAGATGCATAGCAAAGAATGAAAAGATCAGTTAAGAAATTACTCTATTTCAGAGTTGGATGTACAAAAATGATTTAGACCTTTTCTTTTTTGTGCATGTGGGTGTTTTTTGGTTTTAAAAACGATTAGAACAGCACATCAGCAGAGAACTGCCGGAAGTCCAGGCTGGGTTTAGAAGGGGTTGTGGTACTAGGGATATTGTTGCTGATGTTAGAT